AAAGATTAGTCTGAAACTTGTATGCAAGGTTCAAATCTTAGCCCATCCCTCTAAGCTTTTTCTACATTGGTTTGGGTATCTTTTGTGCTTCTGTTACTCAGGGGGTGAGTTGAGACTTTTGAACAGTCATATACCACATAATGACCTTTCAGTCAACAACAGATTGTGTACACAGTGGCAGTCCCATAAGATTATAAAGGAACTGAAGAATCCCTATCGCCTACATTGTAGCACAATGCATTACACAGGAACAATAGCCATACCATATAGCCTAAGTGTGTAGAGGTTTGTGTAAGTACATTCTATGACAAAGTTGCCTAACGACGAGAACGTATCTCCATCATNTTTGGGGTTGCATTCTGAATGTTGTGAATGGAATGTTTTATTAAGTCTAGGTCCTGCGATAGTCTTCTGGAGAATGTTGATATTTTAGCAGGTAATCAACCAGTTTATGTTTAGACCCTGAGTTCTATCTCATTTACCTTTGCTACGTTGATTTGGGTCTGACCTGGTTCAAAGATTAGTCTGAAACTTGTATGCAAGGTTCAAATCTTAGCCCAGTCCTCTAAGCTTTTTCTACATTGGTTTGGGTATCTTTTGTGCTTCTGTTACTCAGGGGGTGAGTTGAGACTTTTGAACAGTCATATACCACATAATGACATTTCAGTCAACAACAGATTGTGTACACAGTGGCGGTCCCATAAGATTATAAAGGAACTGAAGAATCCCTGTCGCCTACATTGTAGCACAATGCATTACACAGGAACAATAGCCATACCATATAGCCTAAGTGTGTAGAGGCTATACCATGCAGGTTTGTGTAAGTACATTCTATGACAAAGTTGCCTAACGACGAGAACGTATCTCCATCATTAAGTGACTCATGATTCTATTCACTCCTTAAAACCTTTGAGATACTTATATGAGACTGAACTGCTTGTACATAGCTCAGGGGTTATTCTTAGACTAAGTTTGGTTCATATACAAAATTAAAGTATTTCCTTCTTTGGCTTTCTCCCCTCCTGGATTTTCTCCACACTCTTTAATCCACAGAGTCTTCCCCCACCCCCCTGGTTCTTTTCACCACAAAGTCAGGGCTTCTACTGGAGTTTAGGCACATACTCCATCATGCTCCTCTGTGAATGATTCCCACCCTTGGGACAAAGCCAAGAGGAAAATAAAGTCAAACTCTTCCCCTTGCAGTTTGACTCCCCTCCACAGTCTACCTGTTTTATTTATTTTCAAAGTGCTCAAGCAATTGTTCGGGGTCCAGAGACTTTAGTTGTAATCAGTAAGAAGGATGGGCTGTAATGGGTTTACATTTGCCATATCAGCACTGGAACTCTTTGGGTTTTGTTGTTCTTGTTTTTAATTAATGCAGTATTTCTATTCCGTTATAATTCACTAACAAATAATTAGGCAAAGTTGCTGAAAGTTTGAAAGTTCAATAGTATTCTAAGAAGGGGCTGTTTATAACCTTTCAAAGAAGGAATGAACAGCACAGGGAGGTATTTGACTTCATTCAGCTAGTATAACCCACCATGTACCATGTGATGAAGATAGTAAAATAATTTCAGAGTTTGCCTTACAAGCTAGTGGACAATAGACTTGCTTCAATGAATAAAGATCAATAAATAAAGATAGTGGGCATATCACTGCAAAAGAAAGGAGTTTAATTATAACTTCTATTTAATTAACCTATTAGAGAACCTTCAAAATAATGAATAATAGCACAGACACAATGCAATTTGATTTTTAATCCATTTTCAAAAATTAGTATAATTTTAATATCAGTGGAAAATCTGAATTTATAATACTTTATTTGCTAATTTGCTTTTGTGTAAGTGTTAAAATTTTGTTTAAGAAAACTGCTTTATTTAAATACACTTGATGATTTCTTTTTTAGTATTTTCCATTTTCAAAAATCAGTATAATTTTTATATCAGTGGAAAATCTGAATTTATAACACTTTATTTGCTAATTTGCTTTTTTGTAAGTGTTAAAATTTTGTTTAAGAAAACTGCTTTATTTAAATACACTTGATGATTTCTGTTTTAGTATTTTCCTTAATGTGGCTGATGTAGGCTTTCCTAAACTCTTTTTCATTAAATCATAGACACTACCAGAGCAAGAAGAAGCCAGGAGAGTGATGGTGTTGAATATATTTTTATTTCCAAGCATTTGTTTGAAACAGATGTACAAAATAACAAGTATGTGGAAATTTTTTACAATTTTTGTGGGGCTATTTTCAAGAATGTGCCTGTGTATATCCAGCTGTAGACAACTGAGGGTTCCCCTCCACTTGAAATGTATTTTAATCATTATAATAATATTTGAAATGGATGAAAAGGTGATAATTCAGTTAATACTCATCAGTCTTCACCTCAAAAAAANAAGGTTTTAAAGTGTGAATTCAACTTATTAAATAGATACAAGGTTATTCAGATTTTTTGTTTCCTCTTGATTCAGTTTTGATGAATTGTATTTTTCAAGATATTTGTCAATTTTACCTAAATTTCTAAATTGTCAAATATGTTGGTATAAAGTAGTACACAATATTATTATCCTTTTTAATGTCCATAGGATTTGTGGTAATAAACCATTTTTCATTCTTTATTTTGGTGATTTTTGTTCTCTTTTTTTCTTGCCCACTTTAACTAGGTTTGTAATTTTTGTTTATTTTTCCTAATTGTTTGTCTTCCCCCTCCCCCATTTTTAAAATTTCTGTTCTTTTATGTTTTCACCTTCTCCTTGCTTTAGGTATTCTTTAGTCTTCTTTTCCTTGCTACTTAAGATGGATCCTTTGGTCATTGATTTTATATCTTCTTTTCTAATACAAGTATTTACAGCTATGTTTATAGGGAAACTATAAGCTTCCCTCTGATTTCTACTTTATCTCATGTTTTTGGTTATTTTGTATTTTTTTGTCATTTGTCCTTTACTTCACAGTATTTTCTGATTTCGTTTGTTATTTCATCTTTGAACCATCAGTTATTTAGAATTGTGTTATTTAATCTGCAGGTATTTGAGGTTTTTCTAGAAATCTTCTTACTGGTTTTTAATTTAATTATTTTGTGGTTAGAGAATATACTCTTTATGATTTTGGTTCTTTTAACTTTCTTAAGACTTTATGTTCCAGCAAATGCTCTACCTTGGCAAATGCATCATGTACACTTGAAATTATTGGATGTAGCATTATATAGATGGTAATTAGACCCTGATATTTTGCCTAGTTCTATCAATTGTTGGGAAAGAGGCTTTAAAATCTCCTTTCTTCATTGTGAAATTGTTCATTTCTCCTTTAACTTAGCCAGTTTTTGCTTTGTGTATTTTTAAGCTTTGTTATTATGTGTATACAAATTTATAATTGTTATGAATTTCTCTTTTATCATTATGAAATGTTCCTCTTTATCTCTAGCAATACTATTTCCTTTGATGTATACTATATCTGATACTACAGTAGCCACTTCAGTCTTCTTATTGTTTACATGGCATATCTGTTGCCATCTATTTACTTAACTGTGTCTTTGTATGTAACATGTCTTTCTTATAGACTTGCAGGCAAGCATGCACTAGGGCCTGGCTCTTTTACCCATTCTGTAAATCTCTGCCTTTTAATTGGTATATACAGACCATTAGCATTAATTGAATTATGGAAAAATTGGATTTAAGCTGTTATTTTATCATTTGTTTCTGTTTGTCCCTTCTGTATTTCACTTTCTTTGTCTTCATTTTCTGCCTTCTCTTGGATTATTTGAATGTTTTTTAGTATTCTATTTTAATCTGTCTATTGGCTGTCTGGTTATATCTCTTTGCATTAATTTTTTAGTAGTTGCTCTTGGGATTACAATATGCATATCTAACCATTCGCAATCTATCTGGAGTTAACTGTGTTATTTTACATAAAATATAGAAACCTTACAACCATATAAGTTCCTTTACCGCTACCATAATCTTTTTGTTGTAGTTTTCAAAAGTATTGTATTTGCATACATTGAAAATTCCATCAGACAATATTGTAACTTTTATTTTTATTTTTATTTTATTATTATTTTTTTTCCTTTTTGTCTTTTTTCGTGACCGGCTACGGATCGCAACCCTCAGTGTTGCGCCTGTACCGGACCGGGACCGGCAACAGGATCGCAACCCTCGGTGTTGCGCCCGCACCTCGCTCAGCCAGTGAGTGGCCAGTCTGTATGTGGGATCCGAACCCTCGGCGAGAGCGCCACCACGCTCCCAAGTGGCGCACTGTAGCAGTGCGCCACCGGGCC